AAGAGCTCTCATTCAATTGCACAAAAGAGCCTATACTGTTGGCTATGCCGCGAGCTGCCCTAGCTGTCATGTAACTTAGTGGTAAGTCATGTACCTGGACCCAAAAGTCCGCGTGATCAAGAGCAACCTCTAGCGGTTTATCGGTGCACTCCAGACGTCTAATAACTACCGGGTTCTGTTCAAAAGACCAGGGTCCTTCATCCACAACTCTGTTCAGATCACCCTCATGATAGAATTGTAAGAGAAATTTGGAATCCTCAATCTCGTCAATCGATACCCCTTTCACAGGTCTCCATACCATAACAATAGTTTGGCAGAAGGAAACAACACGAACAGGTTTATCAGAAACCACTCTGGCCACTGTCGCTAAATTATAGCCTTCTATTGCGCCACTTTCATTCTCAATCGGGTCAGTCGCAATCACAAGCCCCCTGTTTTCTTCCTCCGCAATGGATAACATCTTGATATTCTTTGAAATCATATCCATTTCAAAACAAGCAAACAAAGGCCCTGCCAATCGAGACACCCAAACCAGAGAACACGAACCAAGCACCAAAACTCGCAATATCAAACTCGCAATACCAAGCACCAAAACAAAAGCCAAGAAACTAGCTGATCTTAAAGAACCAAAAACGAAACACAAAAAGCAATCCCCTGTAATTTCAATATCAAGAGAAATCTCTGCCAAACGAGACACCTAAACCAGAGAACACGAACCAAGCACCAAAACTCGGCCAAAGTGGCCGGACCATAAACTCGGAACAAAACGTTCGGAGAAAAAGAGCAGAGCAACACAACTAACCCAAAGGGAAGGCCTAACGTGAACAACGACCGATAATCTTCTTGAAGTTGCCGCCGATTGTCGATCTTCAAATCCCCTTAGCGCCGCCGCGATCATCGAGAGCTAGGGTTTACCTTCGCTATAAGGAGAGTTAAAATTGCATAAAGAATTGGTCACAAAACTTACTTAAATAAACCAAAACAGATTGAAGTTAAACAATTCGAATCAAATAAAATACAAATAATTATAAAATACACATACACCATAACTTTATCATGTCAGCTTTTACCAAACTAGATTAGAATAGAATGTTTTAGAAAGTTTCAATAGTAATAAAATAATTTATTACATTACTATGTATGTATAGCTAAATTATCAAGTATTGACTGTTCATGTTTAAAATTCTATATTTTCTTTATTTTGAAGGGTCCCAACTAAGTGTTTTAATTTCCATTTTAGAAAATAAATAATACTCTTAAATAATAATTTAATTATTAAATATTAAAAATATGAAGTAATACATTTATAACATCACGATTATTGTCAATGAATTTGTTATATTATATGCTCATCTAAATCATTTTTATAATACAGTCGAATCATCTCGTTTAACAGAATAACTCCCTCAGTATTTTACGTACGTACAAATAATTATCAAGTTTGCAAATAATGTAAGAGTTAGCGTCTCAACTCCCTCCATATTCTAAATATTGTTACATTAACTTTGACTTGTTATTTAATGATGAAAGTACCAGAGTAATGAATAGTATAAAAAAAGTATGAGAGACCGTGTAAAAGTATAAAATGCAATACAAAGAGTAAAAAAAAGTAAGAGTGATTGAGTATTTTTAAAGAGAAAACTCATCAAAAGAGAAAAGTGTATCAAATTGTTAAATACATCTCAAAAATTGTGGCAAACTTTAAAGTGCGGAGGGAGCATGGGCGTAGCTCGGGAGGGGCCGACACTGGTCCAGCCCAAACCAAATTCTAAAAATGTCTATATTTTTAAGGTAAAAATTTTCGTGTAAACTTTTTCCGAAAAATATTCTTTATATCAGCCCAGTCCGGGTCCGGCCCAGTGCCCTGACCTCTGGGAAGGAGTATATAAATTTAAACTTTTGAAATCTTGATAGTTGATATAAAAGATATTTTCATGTGAACAGAAATTCTCCGATCTTATACGAATTGACTTGGTCGGATAAAAATATGATATTATATATGGATTATGGAGTATGTGATCCGATACAATTTAGTCTAAGATTAAAACCAAAACTTACTAATACCGTTTGAAGTCAAATATATTCAATTAAGTCTTCGAGTAACTTGCTTATTACTTCTAACAACTTTGAAATTTTTGGTATTAATGTATTTCAATATTAACTTTGAGCAATTGAAAATGATAAGTTGGAGTGCATAAAATTCTTGATGACTTTAATTTGTACAACTGGATGTGAGCTAGCCTACTTATTCCCATTGGAAACTTTAATTTTCGGACGTACGGTTGGGTACTTGGTCTTTGAAAAATAAGATTCCACAGAGCCTAGTTAATTTTTCTCAATGCAAGATTAATTACTATGTATGCTTTAAGTTTTACATTTAATTTAAGAACATTTTATTTATCACTGACTTGTTTAAAACTTCAATAGGCTAATAAGTAAATAGTTAAGGATCTCATTACGAAAATAATTCCATCCCAAGAACTTTGGTAGAGACATTTTTTACGGTAGAAGTATCTACAAAAGATTGCAATTCTTATAAAAAAGCTTCATAAGGGAGGATATAAGAGGCCAATTAATTGCTTTAAAGATTAACATATGCTGATGGTTTTTATTATCATGGCAAAATGAAATCTAGATGGAACAGTCCAACAAAATTGCCCTAAGTCTAGCTAGAGCTTGTGTGTTTTAGTCAAACTTCTTACTTTTAACTTTTTAGGTTTTATAGGAGTAAATAAAAGAAATGAAAACTAAACTAGGCGGCTAAGGGTCATGATTTTTGGGTCACGTTTTCCTAGACACAATATTGTGTTGTGTGTATGTGGTTCTATATGATGTTTCCCCCTTACTTTCGTGGATTGATTGTAGTGACAATGCCTTCTTGAAGGCGTTTCTAAATGCATTACTCATTCTACTTTTTAAATTTTTTACGTGACTTGGTTTAATTTGTTTGAGTCTTGAAAGGAATGGATATAGAACTATCCTAGTATTAGTAGTATATAAGTTTTGAAAACATCATCACACATAGTGAGTTTGGTAGGATGCAAACTAAGTATTTTGCATGAGAAACGTAGAAATGTAAGATGCCTACCCCATTTGATTTAATAAATGGTAGAACTTTTTCTAAAAACATTTTACACAGTATTATGTAAAAAAAAACTAAAGAGAGAGAAAGTGATAAAATACTATGCATGATTTTGTAAAGCATTGCAATAACTATGTGTGTAATTTAAGAATAACTTACACACATAATCAGTCAATATATGTCTTTTACATGCAAAGTGAATATTTGCCTAAAATTTTAACATACAAACTATCAATCCAGTCCTTACATTTACTACTTTATTTTTCATTTCTTTTATTTGCTCCTACAAAACCTAGTCCTATTCAATTTACCTATATCATGATGATTATTTGTGTCAATCTTGCGTGGAAGTTTTTCAAATCTGTTAAGGGGAAATGATTTTCGTAAAAATATCAACACGATTCTTGTATGACTAGTTTTTTTGGACGTCAACTACTCCCTCTCTCTAGAATCAAGGTCATATGTGGACGATTTTCTTGGTGCTATATTTTGTTCTACCCCCATCATATATGTAACCTCGTTTTATCTTAGATACACATGACCTTTTGTCTTCATAGATAATGACGTGACATTCAACATTTTCTTTATAAAGAGTAATCAATTCTACATGGTTTAATGGTGAGACATTAAACCATGATAAATGAATAAATACCTCACTTGTGAATTTTGATTTTTTAATTTGCATATCAGACAAGTATAGCGAATTAGATATCCAACTATGGCATTTGAAACATATATTCTCGTAAGTCGTAATACAATCTAAGATCAAATGTGTCAATGAGAGTAAAATATACTTTGAAAGTTTTACATCATTTTAATAATGTCTTATGTTGGAAAATAGTTATATCTCATGTTAGTTGAGTGATCCAATGAACTTATAGAAAAATAATAAAGAGTATCTTGTGAGGTGTTATTGTCTAAATACGGAGTATCATTGGAGTATCATTTAAGTACTCAATCTCTTACAATTTTGTTAGTTTTTCTTTTTGGTTGTCCCCTAACTTTGACACTTTTTCTTTCAAGTAAATAATTCGTGGTTTCATTTACTTATCTCTCTTTTGCGCAAGCCTCAACCACACAGTTTTTACTTTATTAATTCTTGTGTCGATCAAATTTGACAAAGTTTTACTCCCTCCGTCCCCCAATTAAGTTCACACTTGAATACTTTCCTTATTTGACAAATTATCTATATCAAAACAGTGTGAAACAGTGTCAAACAATGTTTAAGCAATGCTAAACAGTGCATTCCACAATAAAGTCAAATTTATTTTCTTAATATGTGTGAAGTCAAACCAGAAACTTAATTGGAGGACGGAGGAAGTAAATAACATAGAAAGTACTCCGTATGATATTTGAGTGATGAAGATTTCTACACGTTATTACCATCAAAAAAAAGTTTTCTGCACGTTATTTTCCAAATACGGAGTACGGACTACGGAGTAGCATTCTATTTAAAGTGTTTGCAAATTTAGATCACAAAACATGAGGAAGTGTTTAGGCTACAAAGAATGAGTAAGGATGTTTTCTTTTGGACTTAAATTTGCTGGTCTGGTCTGGTCTGATCTGTTTAAGTCTGGTCTGGTCTGGTCTTGTCTGTTTAAGTCTGGTCTGGTCTGGTCTGGTCTGGTCTAAACTGGTCTGGTCTGGTAAACGTCTAGTCTCTGTGTATTTTATAACTACGGAAGTCTGGTCTGGTCTGATCTGTTTAAGTCTGGTCTGTTTAAGTCTGGTCTGGTCTGGTCTGTTTAAGTCTGGTCTGGTCTGGTCTGGGACTAAAAACAATCCAAAAGAAAACATCCTAAAAGCATAAGAATGTGCATCCCGAACGGCGGGCCCACAGAGTTTCAGGAATTAATTAGGCACACAATTGGGCCTGCATTAGGTAAGGAGATGAATGGGCGAGGAAAGCGAGGTAGCTCAACGGCCCAACTACTTCCCATTAAGATTCAACCACGCCATTGAAGCCTCCTCTTTCTCCGCTCTTCTGCACATACTAATAACCACTCCTCTTCCTAGCTTCCTCCCTCGGAGGATCGTGAGCAGAGCACTGAAATGAAGGTCTTCGTCAACACCCGGAGCGGCAGAGAGCTCATCAAGGGCGGACTTGAGCTCAGTGATTCTGTACGTATTATCTGCTTCCAGCTTTCATCTCTGCATTTGAGAGCTTTGGATTTCTCTTGCGTCTTGTTTGATTTCAGCTGTATTTTTTGGATTTTGTAGGCTACAGTTTCTGATCTGCAGGAGCAAATTCATAGACGGAGTAAGTGATTCCTATTCCTTTTCTTTTCCCATTTTATTTGTCCTAGCGCAAAATATTCAGTGAAATATTTGTATGCTTTAGTTTGATTAACGGAAAAAGAATTAAAAGGTTTTAAAAAATCTTTATAAATTTAATAGAAGAGGTCTAAAAATCTTTTTAAGTAAAAACTGAAACGCAGTTTCACGAAGTAAGACTGGCAAATTAGGATAGTTTTTCTCTTATTAGGAAAAAAAGCCTCTACTCTGGGCTATGGCCACTTAAATTTTCTTCCTTTTATCAGTTTTATGTTTGCCCGCTGTTGATTCTTCAAATTGACTAGTATGTAATGTTTAGTCTGTTTATTACGGAGTATATTTATACTAGTATTCCACCCGTTGGGTTTCACAAGAAGTAAAATGCAAATGGGGAAAGTTCCCGAAATAGGACTAAAACAGTTTTAAAATTCCAAAATAGGATTGTCATGTTTCATGTTTGAAGTCTGTTACTGCCAAAACATGACATTAATTTGTCTTATTTTGGGAATAAAAATATGGCAGTCCTATTTTTGAATTTTCAAACATTTTTAGTCCTATTTCGGGTAATATTCTCAATGCAAATACTATATAAATATTACTCCGTAATACATAAATGACCACATTTATAAGCTATATTACAGTATTATATAGAGAATTTACCCAAAATAGGACTAAAAAGGTTTGAAAATTCCAAAATATGACTGTCATGTTTTTATTCTCAAAATAGAACTAATTACCGCCATGTTTTGGCAGTAACAGACTTCAAACATGACAATATTTTCCAAACTTGGCAGTAATTACTCCTATTTTGGGAATAAAAAACATGACAGTCCTATTTTGGAATTTTCAAGTTGTTTTAGTCCTATTTCGGGAACTTTCCCTATTATATATCACATGAATGAGTGAACTCAGAAACATACAATAAATATTAGAAGTTTAATTAGCTCATATTAAATACAGAGTATAAATGTTGAACTTCACTTATATACGTTCCTGGGAATACTACTAAATGATGCAACCGATTGATCTATAATTCTCATTAACATTAGCCAAATGTGTGTACACCTCTTTGTAAATATAATAAATAATAAATTTTTATCAACCATCAAAGCTACATATCATAACTTTTGAGGCTTGGTCATACAATTATCTATGAGTGAAACAAAGGTAAAAACACTCCCTTCTAAAAATTGTCTCTTGTTACTGGATAAGCTAAGTACGACTACAAAGCTATTACTGTATTTATTAATGTTCTTGACTACAATCACTATCTAGTATGTTGTAAAAGAATCAATTGACAAAGCTTTGGAAACTTTGAAAGGGACTGTTAGAATTACTTTTTGGCCAAAATGGAACTGGCCTGGCGAGAGCACACCTGACTTGATCTTTCCCTCCCCTCTCTGTTTGTGTGTGTACACTTCAATGAGCTCCTCGGTATTAGGCTGTGAACGAAAGTTAAGGAACATAATGCACCTTCACTGAGGAAAACAGATGTACGGCACAAGGACTTCAGTCATAAACACTTTCTCCATTAGAGAATAATAGAAAAAGAAAAGAGCTGAAATTACAAACAAAAATCCGGGAATGGTAAAAACACCCATCCAGCTTTCTGCGCTTGTAAGATCCAATCAAGATTCGAGAAGCTTAGCAGATTCAAGCATACGTCTCGTAAGATCTACTCCAACAATGCCAGCTAATGTTCCGGCTGTATTAGAAACACCCATTAGAAGTCTAGTATATCTGAGAGCAATATCCATGTGATTAATTGCAACTTCCCTCTTCCCAAGGCCAAGAAAAATTATAACTAACAGTTACGATCGTATAGTCTCATAGTCACTTAAGTGTAAAAATTGAACGTTAGTTACTAACTTACTATGACTAAGTTAATTCTATAATCTATAGTCACTACACTTAGAAGTTAGAAGGTCGCTTTTTTTTGTAAACAACAATTATTTTAGTAATTATTTCTAATAAAATGGGGCAATTACTTTTAAAACCTTCATTTCGTGCTCATATTGGATCAGAATAGTTTCATTCCAAACTTTTGAAAGACTAGTTTTTGAGGTGGTAGTAGAGAAAGAGCTATGCTTTTTCAATGGATGCGGTAAATTACTTTTTCCCAGATTTTATATGAGTATGTTCAGAAATTTATTACTCCGTATAATTTTACATAAAAGATGCCATATACTGTATAAGCTTATTTAAAAACCAGGAAGGTGTGGGGAGGGTGGCTTCCACCACCTGCCCGCCTTGGCTCCTTCCCCGGGTGCAAGGAATAAACTGAACAATGAACAGTAGGAGCATTTGTAGTTTCATTGCTAGATGTAGTGAATATTATATACTACGCATTATATATCTCTAATTCTCACCCAGTCTATCCTAAATTACTTGAGTAAACTGAACCATGCCATGCTCATACCTCTGAGGATTCTGTTGTCATACACTTTCCCTGAAAAGGAAACGAGTTTCAAGCAAAGGCTTCTCTTAGAATGGAGAGTACATACATTTCTGAGAAATTAGTTGAAGAGATGTTTTTGTTTGTCATTTGACCAAAGAAAGTAATTAGTCAAATGGATTATCTTCCTCTCTGACTAGGAAAATGAATTTCTAGGGAAGTATTTCAATGGAAAGTATTTCATATGGAAAGTACCAAACACCCTCTATGAACCAAAATTTACCCAAGCTTAAATGTGTGTTTGTTTGTTATAATGGAAAATAACTGAGTGCAAAGTTGTTTTATTTTGGTATGTCCATGGGAATGTGCAGCTAAGTTGAAATGTTTTTTTATTGTCTTCATAGTTATATGTTTGCTTTATATTCTGGGCCAGATACATTGTTCCGTATCTGTGCACATTCGGTCACTTTTTTACTGATAAATGTCTGAAATCTACAGCCAAGAAATACTATCCATCCAGACAGAGACTCACTCTCCCTCTCTCTCGCGGCTCTACTCAGAAGCCAACTGTTCTTCACTATCAAAAGAGTCTAAAAGAGTATACTGATGGGAACACAAATGAGCTTACTGTAGTTTTCAAGGATCTGGGACCACAAGTCAAATACAGCACTCTCTTCTTCTGGGAGTACGTGGGTCCCCTGTTTATCTACCCCCTCTTCTATTACTTCCCAATCTACAAACACTTAGGCTATGAAGGAAAACGTGTTATTCACCCAGTCCAGACATATGCTATGTATTACTTCTGTTTCCATTATGCTAAACGGATCCTAGAGACGTTTTTTGTGCACCGGTTCAGCCACGCCACTTCTCCAATTTCAAATGTCTTCAGGAACTGCGCATATTATTGGTCATTTTCCTCTGTCATTGCTTACTATGTGAATCACCCATTTTACACCCCTGTGGGTGATGCCCAGATGAAGATTGGGTTTGCGTTTGGGCTGATTTGTCAAGTTTGTAACTTTTATTGTCATATATTGTTGAGAAATCTCAGAGGTGCAGGTGGTGGTGGAGGGTACCAAATCCCTCGTGGATTTTTGTTTAACATTGTCACATGTGCAAATTACACCACTGAGATTTATCAGTGGTTGGGGTTCAATATTGCAACACAGACAGTTGCTGGCTATGTCTTCATGATAGTTGCTGCCGGCATTATGACTAACTGGGCTCTTGGAAAGCATCGGCGCCTGAAGAAGGTAACCCCCCTCCCCCAAATAACAAAAATAAGGATGTTTTTTTTTGGACTGAAATTTGCTGGTCTGGTCTGAGCTGGGCTGGTCTGATCTGAACTGGTCTGAGTTGGTCTGCTCTGGTTTGGTCTGGTAAACGTCTGGTCTCTGTGTATTTATAACTACGAAAGTCTGGTCTAGTCTGGTCTGGTCTGGAACTGAAAACAGTCCAAAAGAAAACATCCTAAAACATCCACAATAAACATTGAATTATTCATTATGTTTCAAAAAGGGAGTCCTTGGTCAAGAACTGTCTTTAGAATGGGTTGGAGGCATTTTTGCTGACTTAAAATCAAACTTGGTTAATTTGGGTTCGGTTTGTGTCTTTTTTTTATCGATTTGTGTGTGAAGTCACGGGTTAAGGTGTTGCTATATGAGCAAGAGGTCACGGGTTCGAGTCTTGGGAGAGGCCTCTTATCAAAATTTGATAGGGGAAGGCTTGCCCCCTCATACACCCTTATGGTGAGACCCTTCCCCAGACTCTCACCTTGTGGTGATGCATTTGTGCACCGGGATGCCCTTTATAGATTTGTGTGTTTGTCTTGCTTGGTTTTAGCTTCAACTAGTTTCATATGACTGTAAAAAATATTAAACAAAAACCTGGCTGGGTTTTGGTTTGGGTGGGAGATTTCTCTTGTTTCATGAAGTCAGCAAGTTGGATTCCATTGGTTTGGGGTTAAATCTTATTTGTAATTTATTATTTTTTGAAACTGTGGTGATTTATTTTGGAAAAATGTGCGTGTTAAAGAAGCTCAGATGTTAAAACTTGTCTGTTTTCTGCAGCTATTTGATGGAAAAGAAGGAAGGCCTAAATACCCCCGAAGGTGGGTTATCTTACCCCCATTCCTTTAAAAAAGAAGATACAACTACGGCATCATGCCCAGGATCAAATAGTCAATTTTTATTAGAGATTACAATTGCAATCAGTTTATATTTGAACATGTTCTTTCAGCTTTTCAAGTGTAATACACAGTATTTGTAATTTTTTATGGTTCATTCCTCTGTTTGCATTCCCTTTTTTCGTTTATTTTGCATAGAAATTTTAAAGTTCCAATGTTTAAGGAACTTTGGTCATGCTATAAAGTAGAGACATTACAAAACTACTAGCAAGGGAGGATGTTTCGTTTTCCATTTCTCATCCAAAACCATGGTTCAAAATTATCTTTCGTATAAAAATTGGGTATTTGAGTTTAATGGAAATATTGGTATATATTATGGACATTGATTTTAATTATAAAAACTATAAACGCTATTAAAAATAATATCCTTAAAAATTAAAGAGTTGTATTCATGATTTGTCAATTAAGGATGTCATTCAAATCATTTACTGGTTTGCCAATTAGCTTGTCTGTGTGCAGGCAATGTGACTAGCTGTACAGACAATTTGACCAGCGTTTAATGAAGAAAACCGATTTTCATACAGACAATAAAAGAAAAATTGTTTGTATCACAGACACTATGAAAAATTCCGGTCTAAAATGTCTGTGATACAGACAACTCTTTATTTTATTGTCTGTATGAAAATTGGTCTTCATTAAACGTCAGTAAAATTGTATGTACAGACAATTTGACCGGCGTGTAACCCGCTTGTACACGAAGGGGGGACTCTTTTAGCCAAACGATTACCCCGATTCATCCTCAATTTTATAACATGTACGGCCAAACATCTATGCCTGACGGCCTGACCTCTCTCAGTCTCTCCAATTGTAATAGACAAGGGTCTAATGGTCTATTAATCATTCCATCATAGTTGAACGTCTTGAGGCATTTAAGTATTACATCCAAGATTCTCAAATAATTCCAATTCATGTGTTCCAAAAAGGTTGAACACTTGACCCCCCCAAGGCACCCCATGCCCTGATTCGACTGGACTTTGGGAGGTTGTAAGTCATAGTGACTCGGTCGGTCCGATGGTAGTATATCTTGTACTCGTGCACACCACAAATTCATCTGATTTCGATCATTAATCAATGTTCCAATTTTCCCACCACTCAATCAAGTGAGCTATTCGTGCAGGTAATAATACCAATTCATTAATGAGAGACTTGTTCATGTTTGTGCGCAAAACCTGTGACCCTTCCACCTATAATTCCAATGGCTTTGTGGTTAGCTGGAATATTCGATAAATAAATAAATAATTTTATTCTGTTGAATAATCTAGCTTAGTTAAATAAAAGAGAATATTACCCAAAATAGGAGTAAAAAAGTTTTAAAATTCTAAAATAGGACTGCCATGTTTTTATTCCCAAAAATAGGACTAATTACTGCCATGTTTTGGCAGTACCAGACTTCAAACATGGCAATATTTTCCAAACTTGGCAATAATTACTCTTATTTTGGGGATAAACATGTCAGTTTTATTTTGGATTTTCAAACTTTTTTATTCTTACTTCCGGAACTTTCCCTAAATAAAATAGTTTTACAGTCAAAGTCCAACTCTAAACAGCACTACAGAGTAGTATAAACCAATTTTTCTTCGCAATTTTTCTCTAAACGCTGATACTTGAGAAGATTCTAAAAGTGTAAGAATTTTTAACAGGATGAGTGTGTCTATGTGTGTTATTCTAAAGAATGTTGGGAGTGGTACTAACTACTAAGAGCTCATTTGGTAGCACGAAAATCGGCTGTTTTGACTGATTCTGCTGAAATTTATGAAGTTCTGGCTGAAGCGGCTGCATTGGCTGATTATGCTGATTTAAGAAAAAATTATTTTTAAAATATATTTTATCAATAAAATAAAGAAAAAAATATATGTAAAAATAGCTAAAATGGTCATCTACAGTAACTTCAGCCAATACAGTCAGAAAAGTAACTTCAACTTTACTTTTCTGCTTATTACACAATTCAGCGCGCGAAAGCAAAAGTTACGTGTTTGGTGAAAAAATTGACTGATAAGCCTGATAAGCCGAAAAACAGTGTTGCCGAACGGCCTCTAAATGTCATTTTTGAGTGAAATTTAAAAGTGTCATGTGTCAAACTTAATATGAATGTCATTCTAGAATCTAGATTGTGATCTTCCAGCATTCTTAAATTTCACTTGTCTTAATATATAAGTATGAAATGTATGTCCTATACCGAACTTTTGAGAAAGTGATTACTGCTCAACATGAAAAGACCAATTTATTTTTTGCCCATAAACATTCTTACACTCTTCCAATATTGATGAAAATGATTGCTAACAATTATTGCGATCATTACCTATATATTGCTTTAGAGAAAGAACACTATGCTATTATCTTATATAAACATCAAAAGTTTTTCGGTTGAAATCACTAAAGGAAACTATAATTTTAATTTAATTACTTATAATTAAGGTGTTTTAAATTTCTATATCTAAAAGGTAAGGAATTAAACAGGAAACAAGTTATATAATCAGGTGTGCTGAAATCATAAGAAGTTATATACTACTCTTCTCGTCTCATTTTACATGTCTTACTTTCTTTTTTCGGTTGTCTCAAAATAAGTGTCTCATTTTCTCTTTTGAAAAGAAATATGTGGCTTATACCATTTCACTTTATTATACTCAAACCTCAAGCACAACCTTTATTTTTTCAGCCAATTTATTAAAAGTCGTGTCAAGTCAAAGTGAGACACATAAAATAGGACGATGGTAGTTTAGTAGGTTCTTCATTGGGATTCTCACTAAGAACGCCATTTATCTTGAGAGAAGAAATAAAGAAATAAATTTTATTGAGAAGGAAAAGGTTGCAATTTTAATTTCACCCTAAAAATTAAAAAATTTAAAGGATAGCAGCTACAATCATCATCTCATTCATTTCACTCACAAAAGTAACTCCAACATTACTTATTTTGATTATTATATGAATAATTGGTCACCAAACGATTACTCCGCATAATAATGCTAATTATACTTTGAGCCCGTTTGTTAAGAGGTAAAGTAAACGCTTTGCGTGTAAAGTGTGGGGAAGTAAACATTTTACACCGTTTGTTTTAATTATTTAAAGTAAACTGTAGATCACTTTTTTTAAAACATTTTACACCGAACCATAAACTATTTTACGTGGGAAGGGTAGTAAACTGTCGGTTCAACGTAGTATCGCCGGCAAGAACTCTCTCATCTATTCTCCTCCTATGACGGCAAAGCAATACTCGTATATATTATGGCAAAAAATTGCTCTTCTCCTCCGATGACAGCAGTCAGCAAAGCAAGTCAATTTGAAGACTCCATTATGACTGCAAAGAAAAAACTCTCTTTTCTTCTTGTATGTAGTATATATATATGAAAACAGAATCTGCTCTCCATCCAAATTAACAAATTAAACAGGTTAGCTTCTTCTAGAAAAACAGGTTAGCTTCTACAATATATATATATATATATATATATATATATATATATATATATATATATATATATATATATATATATATATGATAATTACTATGATAATTACATTGGAGCAATATAAAATTGATGAAGCAATAACGTACAATCCCCAAGAAAAAGCAACAATTTCTATCATTGCGCAAGTAAAGTCACGTGAAAATATAAAATTCAATATTTAATAGGAATTGAAATTTAAGTAAAATTGCGTGAGATATGCGTTTTAGTAAAATGGATGCACGTATTAACGTAACTGACATCTTCCGTTACAAAAATGCCGATTTGTGTTATACGAAAATGCCCTTTAATTGATCGCAGATGAATATGATATTTGGATGGTTGTGATTTGTTCTCACTTCTCACATTAAGGAGTGTTCTCATTTGAACCAATATATATATATATATATATATATATATATATATATATATATATATATATATATAGTATATATATTCGAAAATTGGATCTTTAGGTTTGATGTTTAGTTGAATTTAAAAGTTATGTTTAGCGATTTTCTAAGAATTATTTCTAGTATTTGATTAAGTAGAATAGTAATTTTCAGTGATTAATCCTTTTCTAGTTGATTCAAATAAAATTACACTTTTGTGGTGATTAATCACTTTGCAGATGATGATCCGGTATTTCCGGTTGTTCCACGTTAATTAGAAGTTCTATTGAGTGAGCTATTTACTAAACATTTTACATGGAAATTTATTTGACAACAAACAATCTAAAGTGTTTGCGTGTAATTTAAAAATAGATTATACACATGGACATACGGTGCATTTCTATTTTACATACAAATTATTTTACGACTCTAAACTTTACATGTGTAAAGTTTTAATGTGCAAACTACAAACGGGCCCTTTGTGTTTTCTTTGTGTTTTCTTTACGGAATTCTTTATATAAAAACACAAATCCTAATAATTTTTTAAATTGAAATTATCGTGATCCTTATCCCAAACCAAATCCCTCCGTTCAAGAAGGAAGAACAGGGCATTGTTGCGGTGTGGATGTCAATTCGAGAGTGCGGACAAGACAATGCACGTAGACCATCTAATTAAAGTTAAGTGACCTTTTCCTTAATGGCTTGTCAAGCACATGCTCTCCTTTACAAATGTCATCTCAGTATCAACTGCTAATTATTGAAGCCACCAATTCATCAATATGAAATGAAACTAACTGAGAGCACACGGCCGATTCTTAATCACTTACGCTTTCTTTGCAAGTGCTTGTGGTTAAATAAAAACACTTTTTGGGAAAATGTGATTAGTAATAAAAGTTGGCAGTGTTTGTTAAAATAAGTGCTTTTTGTGTAATAGAAAAAGTAAAAAGTAGATTCTACACAAAAATCGAGAAAGTAAAAGTTGGTAGTGTTTGATAAAATAAGTGCTTTTTTCTTAGAAAAAAGCCACAATCACTTAAATTAAGGGGTTGCAAACAGAGTCTTAAGCATGTGATTCGGTTCGGAGTATAGAACGATAGCTGCTCATTATTTACGCATTTCTTGCATTTTTAGTCCCTTTGGTATGGTTTAGATTGATCGAAAATCGAAATGATATGAATTATTCGATTTGAATTATAAAAAGGGAAAAGTACAAATATATGCTTCCGTGGGAACAAATATATCTATGCACTGTTTTTGGAACAAATATATCCAGGACGGATCTAAGATTTCGAATTATAAAAAGGGGTCGATTTTTTTCATTAGTGTAGGGAGCGAAAAAAATTCGCTAGTAGGCGGGACGGAAGAAGATTCGCTAGTGTAACAGGGCGAATTTTTTCGCTAGTGTAGGGTTCTGCCGCTAATTTGTATTCAAAAAGTTCCTTTAGTACATACGGAATACTACATAAGTGCTCT